AAGAGAGGGGCAAAACTCACTATTCAATATTATGAGTAGGATTTATTCAGCTCTCAAAATTAAACAAACATACAAGGGACCGTGTCGATAAGGCCTACAATACTTAACTGTATTAAAAAATAAGTGGGAAAAAAAATCCCTTGGGAAAATACATAAGCCTAAGGAGCAAGGAACAACACAAGCAGTAAGTGTTGGTATTAGACCCGCAACAGGTAAATTTTGAGGAATGAAGTTTGTGACCCAAGTTCATAACTGCATAGTTGAAGTCAATCAAACCAGTTTAAGGCTTAACCCACTGTACCTATTGGCTCACTGGTTTTCAAAGCAACCATTGAACCAGGGTTGGGGATTACTTCATAAACCCAAGTTTGACTAGGTGAGTAGCTGCTTCAAGCATGCAGATAGTCTCCTTCCCTGTCTGGACAAGGCAGGCTCTGCTAGAAGGTGTCCTGGTGGGGTGATCTTGCAATTCACCTGTATGCCATAAAAATAAAATTAATGTCACAAGTCCTGTCATTCTCATATTCATGACACTCCCAAACACAGAATGTCATAATTTTTACATAATAAAAATTCAAGAGGAAGAATGTGTGGCTTCCTTACTTTCAAACATCCAGTTATTGTATTCATTTTACAGGGTATAGAGAATGTTTTGTAACACAAATATATTGCACACACCACATGAAAATGAGACTGCATACTGCAATATAAAAGTAAAATGTTTGTGAAGTTCCATATTTTTAACCTTGGGCCACTGACAAATAAATTTATGTGACATAATATCAGTTTTGAATTGACCATCACTAAGGTTTATTGATTTTAATTCCTTAATCAAACTAGCTTCAACAGAAGTCTTTCTGTGACACAAGATGATTTGAACACGTCCAAGCTTTTTTCCCAAGCAATGGGATGATTATTATTCCTAACATGAACGAACAGGACACTGCTTTCAGATGCTGTTCTGATATTGTACTTATGTTGTTTGATTCTGAGCTGCAGTGTTTTTCCTGGCTGTCCTACATAATTACAATTACATTTGCTACATGGGCTACAATAAACACTTCCAATTACATTCAAACTTGGGCTATTTCTTATTAACATATTGGTAATGGTTGAGTCAAACTTAAAAACAACATTAATATTTAGTAGCTTGAGGGACCGAACTAACGGGACAAATTCATTGTGATAGGGCAGAGTCAAAATATTCTTAAGTGTAGGAATTTGCCTGGTTTGAGAGGAATGAAAGGATTTTTTAGCCCTTTTAAAACAACGATCAACAAACACAGAAGGGTACCCAAGTTTTTGTGCAATGGAACGAATGTGTTTCAATTCATCATCAATAAATTCAGAGTCACAAATACGCAGACATCTTAAGAACATGGCAGAAAAAAACTGACATTTTGATAGACTCCAGGTGATTCGATAATATGTTACATAAATTTATTTGTCAGTGGCCCAAGGTTAAAAATGCTTTGAAAACCTTGTATCTAGATGTATGATAGTTATTTAGTGGGTACCTTATTTGTGACCTGACCTGACTAGTCACGTCGCCCCCTTCTCTTAGCTCCTCTACGTGTGTGTTGGTGTGGGGATTAGTGGATGACATCATTATGACCTGACCTCATTTTTAATAAGGTCACCCTGTATATTTAAGCCTCTCTCTGTCCATGTAATCCAGTTGCCTCTGAAGATGTCTTGAATAAAAACGAAAGCTAAGGTGCTCTGTTGTTTCCCTTTTCCCGTCTGATTTTATCAAGATTAAACTTATCCACGTGTTTTCTTCTTTCCTTGTGGTTATCAGCATATACCTAGATCATGCGCACCTACAGCGATTTACTTGCATATATATATATATATATATATATATATTTTGTTTTTGTTTTTAACGGGGATTAGCCCACCCGGGCACAGGTCACTGACCCACATTGGAGTCTGGGGGGCGATACTGTAATAATATTGATAATGATAATAATAATAGTAATAAAGAACCATAAAGAAATGCAAAATTTAAAAAAAAATCATGAGTGAGAAACAATGTACAGTGGTCCCTCGGTTAACGAGCGCCTCGGTTAACGATTTACCTTCCATAAGATTCCTAACTTCGGTTAACGAGCAATCCCTCGATTAACGAGTTTTTTACGAGCCGACTTCAACATGTTTTCACTTGCATTTGGCGGTCCACCAGCTGTAGTATTAGTCTGCCAATACAGTAATCGGTTTTAGGGCTTAAATTCCTTAATATTTTAGTAAATATCAAGAAGTTTATACTATTCAATAATTTAAAAAATCTAATATTAACTTTTTTTAGTCATTTTAACAATTATTGAACATAATTGAAGGTAAAGAAACTAGTTTCTGGCGTGCCATCCAGCCTGTTAACACACCAGACAGGCGTTAGTCTCTCTCTGTTTTCAGTGGAGGTAACATCTTGCTTGAGACTCTCCAACTAAATGCTTTTTTTCTGTGTTTCCAAGCAAATTATTGGTCATTTTGAAATATATTTTACATATTGACAATATATAATGCAGTGCAGTGTTGATTTAAAGAAAATAATCTTGAAATACACCAAGAGAACTAAAATTTTATGGGTGAAATGGTGCCATGGGGTGACTTCTCTTCCACCCCAATGCCTTCTCTTCTTCCTTCTCCTCCACCCCCATTCTAATTCCCATCATCATCATCATCATCCAGGAGCCTTCTACATACACACCTCAAAGTAAGTGTACTTTTCTACCTTTTTGTTGAATTTAGGCAATTTTCGGTGAGCTGGAACCAATTACCCAAAAACCCATTGAAACAATGGTTTCGGTTAACGAGTTTTTCGGTTAACGAGCAACCTGCTGGAACGGATTGTGCTCGTTAACTGAGGGACCACTGTACCTGTATGTATGTTGTGTTGTCAATAGTAAGAGAAACAATTGAGTCCCTGCAATTATGTGTAAATGAGGCAGAAAGTCAGATTAGCAACCTGGGACTTGGTCACAATTTACGTGATGCCATATGTTCTTTGACTTTTCCATTTTTTATTCACGATTTCTGTGCTGGTTCATATTTATTTACTAAGGTGGTTAATGTTTTAAAGCAAATTCTATTGAAATATGAATGGCAAATGAACAAAAATGAATAGAGGGACTTAAATGAAGTAGGTTAGGGATAGGTACCCTGAAAATGTACTGTATGTTTTATTTCCGTATACAGTCGACCCTCGTTAATTCGGACCCCTTTAATCCGGATTTCGGATAAATCGGACGAAATCTGAACTGTCCATATCAAATTTCTGGTTCTGGGATTGTCCCAGTTGCAATTGGGGTTGCAATTTCAAATTCTCTGTCATAACTAAGAAATAAAGAAGTCACTGGTGTACTGCACTCTAAGATTAAGAGAAAACGGACGACTCAGGCGTCCTGAAGTAAGAGAAAACGGACTCCTATGACGGGGCACTCAAATAAACCTACACATAGCTGTATAATGCAATATTATGCAATGTTAACCCCTAAATCGGTTAATTCAGACAATCGGCTAAAACGGACACCATCCCCCCCTATTAGTCCGTTTTAACGAGGGTCGACTGTACTTTATTTACAAATGTCCAGTTTCATTTATTTTTAAATTCTTTGGATATACAGGTACTGTACTATATTTACCCCTCATGGTAACAAATAAAATTCTTCAATTGTTGCTGGAAACAAAAGTTCAGCACTGACTGATGTTCCCAAGCACGTTAACATCGCTTCAAGTCACAATGCAGATGAAAGAATCAAGGCAAAAATATTTAAATACTGTATCCAGATGTTCAAAATGATCTAGCTAGTCAACACAAATGGAGCTGTAGAATCAGACAAAACCCAAAACTAAAGCTGAAGTACAATGACTTTAAAAAGTTGTATCCTTTAACTGTCAAGGAAGGTAAAATGAGTGACCCTTTTGAAGTACAGTACAGTGGTATTAACTCTAAAAAATATTGTACCACACTCCAGAGCACTTTACATCCCTCCCATTCATACTGTGTACCACTTTAAAAATGACATTTTACTTATTCTTATACACTTTAAAATTATTTTCTCCATATGAATGTTCATCATTCACTTTTTTCTCAACTTTATCATTCTTCAGTATACCTGTTCTTTTCAATTGGATCTTAAATTTCTTTCTCTCTGTAAACAAATCTAAACTGTATACAGTACTGTATATTCTTAAGTACTGTACACTAAATGAATGCTACAGACTAAAGAAAAAAAGGATGAAAGGGAACCTGCAATATTCCATAAAAGAGTAGCAAAATGGGCAAATTAACATTCACATACAGTAATACCCCGCTTTATGAGTTTTTTTTTATGCGTTTCTACATTTACGCGGTACCCCGCCAGAACCGGAATTCCCACTTTACGAGGTGAATCTACTCATATACACGGGAAGCGGCGCGGGCAGGGTGCGCACAAAGTCGCCCAGTCATCAAAACATTACCGAGTTCTTCACCCGCCACCCACCACAGCCGGCCCAAGTCAGTGATAGTGAGGATATGGACTTATATGGACTTTGAGGGGTTTGACAAAGAGGCCCTGCAAGTCTCTGTGGTGGATAGTGATACAAGTGATACAGGTGAGGGCCAATAATCTGCCCTCTGCCTCGGAACCAACCCCCATCCCCGTGTGCCGAGCCCTCTTTTCTGCTAATGTAAGTGTTAAAAAACCTAATATTATAGATATTTCTCTTAATTATTAATTGTGTGTGCATACCATCATAAAATTAAGAAGTTATTTTTACTACAACGTAGGTATTGTATCTGAAAAAGTGGAGTTTGGGGGTCGGCCCAGTCTCTATTTCAATTAATCCCATATGTTCTGTTGCTCATTTTACGCGTTTCCCGCTTTACGCAGGCCTCCGTGGGTTCAATTGACCACGTAAAGCGGGGTTACACTGTATAACAAAAGGCAAATCTGGTGGGAGCTGAGTGTTGATGAGGATGAATATGACAGGCAACACCAGTAGAATTCACCAACCTCTTTGTAGCACTTTTGTGTTACTACGTCCTTCATGTTTCCCCATACTGTGATGTGCTCCCGTTGGTATTTTTTTACTAAGTCACTCACCTATTACACGAAAAGAAGAAGATATATTTGTGTAAAGTATATACATGTTAATTACCATCATCACTGAAACTGTTATTTTATAGATATATCCTTCACACAGTAAGGTTAATTGTTAACAGTTTTACATACAAATATTTTATGTTAAATACCAAGATATTAGACACAGTATAATCTAAATTTCCTTCAATTAGGTACTTAGTTAATTAAAAGTAAATGAGCAATTTAAAAGATTAGATTAAAAGGTAGTTATGAGGTAAACTAAAGGTCCACATCATAGCTACATATTAGGTTTATTGTAACAAATAATATTCCACAACAATGAAACTTTTATACAGTATACTGTACATAACTGAACGCTCCACTAATACAGTACACCATGAGACTCTCCAATACTGTAAAACCTTCCTCCTTTTGCAAACTTGTTTCCATACCTCTTACTCTTGTTCCAAAAAAGGTCTTGTCTCTCTTTTCTACATTTAAGTGATAGTCTCTCTCTCCCAATTCATTCCAATACTATTCCCTCTTAATCAAATTCAAGCATAGAGAACTTTCTCTCTCTCTCTCTTTCATTTATCTCGCCACTTTTTCTTTTCATCCTACAACATTCTAATAACATTCTTTTACTCTACTCCATTTCCATGACTTCTCTTACTCTCCTACTTCATTCTAAACTATGCTATTCTCTCCCTAAAGCCAATTAAGAGAGAATGTTATGGTTCAGGTGCCCTGACTAACCATAAATAGAGTAGCTGGAAAAAATCAGTACCAAAAATACATAAAGGTAGCTGACAGTGGTGGGCACGGTTCTGCTAATCCGCTAACCTCTAATTAGCGAAGCTAACTTTCTCGTTAGCGGATTAGCGTTTTCGCTAACTTTGGAAACCATTAGTGGACCAATTAGCTTCCGCTAAACTTAGTTCTGCTAACTTTAAGTCTGCTAACAAAATTTATACATGTTTGTTCCTGTCTGTTGTAAGCGTGTGATACCGCGACGCGTGTCTCCAACAGCCAGTCAGTCAAGCACGCTTGGCTGACTGCGTGTTAGTACGTGTAAACGTGACAAGACAATTTTTCGATTATTAAAGTTTAATACTTTTTTTTACAGTAAATAAAGTGTCAGTGTATGTTGAAAGAATCATAGAATGTAATTGTAAACTAATGTATAATTTCATTTCTCATTTATTTATTAATTTAATTAGGATTTTTTGTGTCAATATATTTGGTTATGCTAAGTACTGCATAAGTTCAATACCAGGATGACATCCAAGGTGTACGCCAAACAAAATTTTCTAAAAACTTACTTTTCATTAAAGTTTAGAGTTTTCTGTTTATTTACATGACTAAGACCAACAATAAGTTATATAAAAATGCACTGGTATAATGATTAAGACCAACAATAAGTTATATAAAAATGCACTGGTATAATGTGTATGTGGTTGATATTGCATATTTACATGAATAATGAATAAGGCCGATAGGTTGTATGAGAATGCAAATTAATTATTTGTGAAATTGTGTACAGTGTACACCTTGATAAGTTGATCATCATCTGATCTTGACATGATGCTATTTGCTACCAATGCTATACAGTACTATAGTTTTTGGATTCGTTTAATACTTTCTGTCTTTCCGTACAGTAAACAAAGATTATAAAGTGTATGTTGAAACTTGAATGTAAACTAATGTTTAATTTCATTTGTTTGTTTAATTATTTGTGTACACCTTGATCATCATCTGATCTTGGCATGCTATATCTTCTTGGAAAGCTTCATGTCTAAGCTACAAGACAACATATGAAAATTTTAGCTCTCTAGGTTTGTTTTTAAGAGTTTTAGAGCAAAAAAACAAAAACAAACAGAAGCTAAATTCATATAATAATAGTTAGCGGTTAGTGTTAGCTTCAGCTAATTTTTTTAGCTGTTTAGCAGATTAGCATTAGCGAAGTTAACTTTTAGTTAGCAGATTAGCGGTTAGTGAAACTAACTTTTTGCTTAGCTGTGCCCACCACTGGTAGCTGAGGATAAGTGTAGCTCCTACCCACAATCTCTGTTCAGCCATCATACTTGACATGTATTTACTGTTGTACAGCAGATTGCCTTCATCTGAGATTTTTTACTTAATTGCAGTGGTTTATTTGTGTAGGGTGTCTGATAGGTTTGGCACTGAAGGAAAATGAATATTTCATGATAAATTAACAAAGATGACAGTAAAATTAACATTGAAAGAGAGGGTAATTTTAATATGCCTGGGTATTAATAATTTCTTTGCAACTGATCAGTGTGTTGAAACTGGTTTTCCTTCGGCAACTTGTTATGATTCCCCGACTCAAAAAAACAGAAAAGAAAAACTAGAAGATTAATTTTCCTATGGTGTGTGACTAATTAGACACCTTGTATAACACAGTGCAGTAATGGCATTTTCTTGAGATTGGCAAGTACAATCTATGGTTAGTTTAATCAAGTCTGCATTACAAAGTTACTTGTGGATATATCTTTGTCAAACAAGTGACACACTGCTTTACTTACCTTTTAGAGAAGTACATTTATATTATATACACAATGCTCCTTAAAAGCTTCTAAAATGCTCAATGTCATGTCATGCTGAGTAATTTAATTTCAAAAGTACTAGTAATGAGAACACAGTAACACTTTATTAATACAGTAGCCTTGGGTTATTTTGCAACGAAGGACCCAAGAACATTCATTAAATAAAAATATCACTCTATAAAATATTGTACTGTACCTGTATTTCAATACAAAATAAGGGATTAGGGACTGTTTTTGATGTCAGACTCCAATTTTGTTAATGTTTTTTTAATTGAATATGGTCTCCTTTTCACCCTATAATGCCACCATTGTCATCTGCTTGGTAAAGAAATAAAAAAATGACATATTCTCTAGGGGAGGACTCATATAGCTGACTTCTTGGCAGGACCAGCTACTTGTCTCATTATCAACCCCAATTTCTCAAGTCTGCACAGTTTCCTCAAAAAATGTTTCATCCAAACCAACTGCTGCTGAGTTTAACAAAAGTACGAACTCATTCAAGAACAGACTCCACCAACACTGATGCAGGTACAGACACATTCTGGAGCCAGTGCATGCCCAGTACTTGCTAAGAGTGCATAACAGAGTTGTGACCAACCACCCATGTGGCTAACAGGCCAATCAGTGGCAGAGAGACTAAATTAAACTGATATTCCTTCAACCATTTCCCAAAAGGACAGACAGCCTTCTCCTGCATTTGCTTTAGACATATCACCACATTGTAGCTTTGCCATGTGAATAACCTTCTGTCACTCATCCTATTTAGGTGCCTGTTTACAAATTACTGTACCCCATTCTTGCTGTGTAGTAGTTAATAAACCAGTTGATGACTGGTAAGAGGGTAACTGTTCCTAGCACCTCCCAATGGAATGCTTCTCTCTCCATCTCTGTTCTTACTAACTTCCTCCAAATAATTCAGTGTTTTCTCATATTGACCTCTAAGGTTTCAAGCAAATTGATATGTCACCATCCAGCTGAGATGGGGCGAGTCCCAGTCATTACAAACCAACAATCCATGGAAAATAGGGTCTAAGGTACAATAAGTACCAGTCAGTATATACCAGAGGTAATGTTAGCCACTTCTTGTATGCCAACCTGGACTTACAGTCAGTTATGTAAGTCAACAAACCTCATGAAACAATACAGTATAAGGAAACCCCAGTATTGTACTTAATTCATCTTACTCAGTATGACAACACAGTACTGTACAGTACTTAGAATTACAGAAAGCTGAGACCAGATCCCTGACAAAAAAGTGTGATTTTTTTTTTTAAGAATATAGCAATGTAAGGAAGACCCTGTATGACTGTCCTCTATGATTATCAACCAAGAATTAATATAAAATGGTATAGTGATCTGATAAAAAAAATGTTTGCCAGTGGCCTTACGGTAATGTGAATCCTAAATAGGTAGTCATGACTTGCAGCCTGTCAGGCACCTATTGCATCATGTCCTCCTCATTTGAAATCAACAGTGGTATGGAGAGGGAACGGAGATTGTTACAGTACAGTTTATCCAAAATGGATTAATTGAACAACTCTTAGGTGACGAGAATGTGGAAGTAATGTGAAAACCAAAATCCCCCAGTAAGCACATATTACAAGAAGCATCTGGCTCGAGGGTGATAGGCAGAGAAAGATGTACTGTATCATGCTTACTGAGTCATATATATGTACAGTAGGCTCTTGCCAATAACGACTTCCACAATAACGTTTTTGACAATAACGGTAAGTTACAATAGCTACCCATTTTCAATAATAACGTCTGGATTCTCTTGAATAACGGAGATTTCGCGGGAAGCGTCCGAGCACATCAAGGATAGCGTTTGTTTGCCGCCATGTTGTCCGCTCCGCCTCACTCTTACACACACTCCGTGGAATACAGCGCTGCGCCCACTTGTGAGATTTTCGCCTCTATAACCAGTGGTTGCTAGGGTCGGTGATCAACAATGGCTTCCGCGTTTTTGCCTGTGGGGGCTAGGGGAGGTGGCGGAGGGAGTGATTTGCCACCTGAATGCCCGGGAACTTTTAAAGTGAATGAGAAAAAAGACCCCAAAGCTAAGAGACAAAGTCACAAGAAGCATGCCTACTCGGTCAAGGATAAAGAACAGATTGTTGAGCTCATTGAAAGTGGTGCACGGAACATTGATATTGTGAGGAAATTGAACTGTCCTGAGTCTACAGTGCGAAATATTAGGAGGAACTTAGAGGAGACCAAGAAGAGTATTGCACTGGCTGAGAAATATTTCGATAGTGATGGAAATGCGAGGCGAGCTATGAATGATAAAAGTGATAGAAACAGGTTGATAGTGATAACAGAGCATTTTCTTGTGAAATGGTTAGCTTGTAGAATGAAAGACAGTGCAAGTGTTAGCGGCCCTCAGATACGAGATCAAGCAAGGGTATTGTACGCTGCTGTAGCTCGAAAGAAAAACATTAAGTCTCCCCCTCCTTTCAATGCCTCAGTAGGGTGGGTGCGTACATTTAAGATTAGAAGTGGCACAAAGTATGCAAAGTATCGGGGTGAGGCTTCGTCTGCTGACTTTGTGGCTGCAGATTCCTTCCCTGAAATTGTCAATCAAATCATTCAAGAGGGAGGTTATACCCTGGATCAGATTTTTAACTGTGACGAGACCGGGTTGTTTTGGAAAAAATCCCCTAAAGCAACATTTATCTCTAAGAAAGAAAAACAGGCAAAAGGTGTGAAAATGGCAAAGGATCGCTTTAGTGTCCTCCTAACCTGTAATGCTTCAGGTGGCTGCCTCATGAAGCCTCTGGTGATCTACAAATATAAAAGACCAAGAGCTTACAAGGGATGTGATATATCCACACTGAATGTCTACTGGGAAAAGACAAAGAAAAGCTACATGTCCACAGAGTTATCAAAGAAGTGGGTTGATGATTGTTTTGTTAAGGATGCCAAAGAATACTGCTGGAAGAAGAATGCAGCCTTCAAAGTGGTGCTCTTTCTAGACAATGCCCCCAGTCATGCACGATTTCTAGTAGGATGTCACCCTAACGTTGAGGTTGTGTTTCTACCACCAAATACAACCTCCAAAATACAGCCACTAGACCAAGAAATCATAGTGAATGTAAAGTTACTGTACTACAAATATGTCCATGACAAGATGAGAAAGGAAACTGATAAGCAAAAAGTGAAGGAAATTGCTGAAACTGTGAGCAGTAGCGAGGAGGAGTAGGAGGGTCCTCCCCTCGCCGCCTCCGCTGCTCCGCCTGGCTCACTCACAGCCTCCGCCTCCACTCCTCCTCCTGGCTCACCTGCAACCCCGCCACCCCTGCTCCACCTGGTGTACCTTCAACCTCCACAATTACTGTTACTGCCTTCTGGAAAAATTATAACATTCTCCAGGCAGTCAATTTCTTTGTAAAAGCCTGGGGAAATACTACGAAAGCAACCGTTGGCCATGCCTGGTTGGCACTCCTGCCACAACTCAAGTCTGCCGAGATGAAGAGACAGCAGCCAGCAGAGCTAATGAACCAAATGTTGGAAACCGTCCGCAGTATCCCAGCCCCAGGATTTCAAGAAGTGACTCGGGAAGATTTAGAAGAACTGATGCAAGAAAATAACACAAATGACGTCGAGGATCTCCCGGAGGATGAAGAAGGTGGTGAGAAGGGTGATGCAGTGAGTGATGTAGGGGAGACCTAGCAGAGGAAAGTGACAACACAGAAGCTGTCGCTCTTATTGGGTGTCTTTACCAGCCTTCAAGAGATGATCCAAGACATTGAAAGTGAATCAGGTGAAAGGGAGCAAGTGATTGGAGTTTTAGAATCTAATTCAAGAAAATACCAGAAGCAATACAACGAGCGAGTGAATGCCCGGCAGCAGTCACTCATCACTCGCTTTCTTTCACAATGCCGGCCAGCCAAAGAAGACCAACAGAGAAAGGTTGAAGTTGATGAACACATTGGGGAAATGCCCGAAAATTTTGACTTTGCGGGGTTTGTGAAGTGTTAGCGGAAGTGGGTGAACAGGGTGCGAGAGGCCAGCGTGGGGATGGGGACGGAGATGGGGCCAGGGATGTGGGCGGAGGTTCGACGCAGTAGCCTCCATGCCCCAGCCTCGGAACAATCATCACACCAAGCACCTCAAAAACTCCCCCAAGCTACGGGTAAGTGTTATATTACTCAAATTCTTTATTCTGATGATTGAATAACAAATCTTTTTATTTCAGCAAACAAAAAGTGTTACGCAGGGCTTCAAAGGGGAAAAAATGGGTGAAATTCTTGGGGCGGCAGCACCAATAAACCCTTTTTACATGTACAGCGGTCCCTCGGTTAACGAATTACCTTCCATAAGAATCTTCAATTCGGTTAACGAAAAAAAATTTGATTAACGAAATCCTTACGAAAATCACATTTTGTTTTGAACATCAGCTGATAAGCTGAGGAGGTACTCAGCCAATTCAGTGATCTCTTCTATGTTTACATTCAAACTAATCAATATCTTATAAGAATTCCAGCAATGCAAATTAAATTCACCCCGGTCACTTCTATTAAATTTTATAAGCAAAAAACAAAAACTCAATCTAAAGGACATAAATTAACAATTAAATACTTTACACCACAGGCGCCAACTGTCAAACATGTCACCCCTCCCTCCCTATCCCCCACCTTCCCGAGAAATGTTTGGGGAAAAGGACTAGGTTTACAGGTTTAAAAATAAATAATACCTCAGACTAAAGTTAGGATAATATAACTTGCATTGCTGAAATCCTTGCAAGACAGGGAATAATTTGAATATAAACATTATATATTTTGCATAAAAGATAAAATTTTTGCTCTCCCTAATAAAATTCTTAAATTAGATCTAAAATTTGTATGTCTAATGCAAATTTTAGCTTGTTTATATTCAAATTAATCACTATCTTATAAGAATTCCAGCAATGTAAATCATATTCTGGCCGGGTAATTTCTATGAATTTTATGAGCTAAAAACAAAAATCTCAAATTGATAAACAAATTATACTTCACCAGACACTATCTGTCACCTCACCTCCCGCTCTCCCCATCTTCCCATGCTTGCTGGCTCCTTGCCTTCCCAGACAAAAGTTTGATGTTTTCTTTAGGCTTTAAGGTGTTTATTTTATATAATATCTCAGACTAAAGTTAGGATAATATAATTTGCATTGCTGAAATCCTTGCAAGACAGGGAATAATTTGAATATAAACGTCATATATTTTGCACGAGATAAAATTAATCACCTGTATCACATTACAGTAGTAATTTAAGAGCTCTAGCGTATATGTACGATATATATAGTGATTTAAGGGCGATTTAGGGGAATTTTAGGAGTGTTTCTGACTTTATGTATTTTTGGCTTTACTTTGTATATACTTTTCTGTGAGCTGGAACCAATAATCCAATATCCCATTGAAACAATGGTTTCGGTTAACGAATGACCTTCTGGAACGAATTGTGTTCGTTAACCGAGGGACCACTGTATTTTAATGTCACACAAATAACGTTTTCGCTAATAACTGCATTTTTCAGGCACCTATTAGACGTTATTGGCGAGAGCCTATTGTATATATATTTTTTTTATTAAGACTTAACTACTCTGTCCTAAACATGGCATTCTTTCTCTTTTTCAACTTCAATACAAACAATAGTCACACACACACACACACACACAAACACAAAGTACAAAAAAGCACATTTCACTAAATATTTAAAATACTTACTTTTGAAATCAACTCATTGCTGTCAATCTTGATATCAATGTTAATTGGTGTGTTTGGGAAGTGGTGAAAAGTTTCCTCCAGCAGTGGAATTCTTCGATCTTCATTGATACTGCTGAATATTAAACCTGGCATGAAGTCTATTGGGATTTGATCTTTGATTGGAGGCAGCTCGGCATAATTATACTCAGATATTGCTCCTTTTAACTCTGTGCGAATGTCGAGAACTGAGTCATGTGACACAACCACTTGGCCATCTCTGGTAAGCTGACAGTCAAGTTCAAGCATGTCTGTTCCCACATCAACAGCACTGTAACAAAGAAGTATTTTTCTTGTAGATATGCAAGAAATATATTGAAGATCATATACCGTACCCCCAGTTGTAGCTTACTAGACAGCCGGGGGCCCAAACTAAAAAGCAGCAAGACAAACCACCTTAGCATATGCATAGCACCCATCCACATAAACTGTTTGTATCAAGTTGCATAAAATTCTATGAAAAACTGTTGGACAATTTTACAAACTCATGATTACAAACACAACTTCTGACAATGGACATACAACTTATGATGCAGACAAAGTTTATGGTTGGACAGACAAATAACTTATGATTACAGACAAAGAACTTATGAGTATGGAGAGACGGTTTGATTTCAGATAAACAGCTTTCAATATGGACAGAGTTTTTGTAAGCTTGGGGCTGAGTGAAGAATAGAAACTGAGAATTGAATCTAAATCCCTCTTTTCTAGCTAAGCTCAGCCAGGAGGCTCCAGTTAATCCACCGACCATGTTGGGGTGTCTCAAGAGTGTAAACTATTCCCTATTTGACATTGGGGGCTGATGTTACAATTGCTTAACCCTTCCCATTACAATTATCCCTTAAAAGGAGTGGATTAGAAGCAACGATTATGTCTAGAAAGTCAGTCATGTATACCCAGCCAGTACTCACACTGTGCTAGTTATGGCTGTCACCTAGATTTCAGATTCAGTTTGATATTTAGAATTTAGATTCCAACTGACAGCTCACAAACCTTCGGGAAGTAGAATGGCGTCTAAATTGACTGGCTATGGGCTAATGTAGAATTTCAGGATCAGTCATCCATATTTAGCATCATGCCCTTTGCCAAGCAACTCCTTTTAGCCAACAGGAAAGTGGGAGTACTACAAGGTCTAGGCAGGCATGTACCTATAAAGAGTTCTCAACAGAGGCAGGCAAGGATGTAGACGGCAACTTCTGAAATCTCTAGTACAGTAATGTAAAAAGTAATAAATAGATAGATAAATAAATAAATAAATAAATAAATAAATAAATAAATGTTACCTTGGAATATTATGGGAACTAAAAGCTGTAGATATCCAAAGGCCCTAGGATAATGAAGTATTAGGTTAATGAAGACATACTACACCAACCAAAATACTGTCCAGTACTTCAGCTTGGGTAAGGATCATGTTTAGTATACAGTCAACCCTTGCTTTACGCAGTCCCACTTTGCACGTTTCCACGTTTACGCGGTACCCTGCCGAACACGGAATGCTCACTTTCCGCGGTGAGTGTACCCCTTTACGCGGAGAGCGGCTGGCGGTCCTCTCGGGCCGCGCCATTTTTGGATCCAAACCTCCCGCCATCTGCCATGTTGTGTAAGCGGCGCGAGTAGGTTGCGCAGTGTATGTCTTTGTTGCGGTATCGGTGACGTCATATGACGTAGCGGACTATGATTGGGCAAAGCATCCTCACCTCTCTCCCTGCTAGCTGTGATTGGTTTAATGTAGTACTATGACGTGCCCCGCCGCGGGAGCGTTCAAGCCCCTTGACCTACCGCGTCAGTTACACCCCTCCCGGCTACACCGTGTATATCGGTATCCATTGTTCCATAAGAATGGCTTCCACCGGACCACCACCACAAAGAAACATTTCATTACCTGGACCCAGCCGCCCTAAGCCAAAGAAGACACAACGTTCCTTAAGCTACGAAATAAAATATAAGATCATACAAGAGTTGGAGAAAGGAACAAGACAGGTTGATCTCGCGCGCCAGCATGGTGTTCACGAATCAACTATCAGGACAATTAAGAAGGATGTAGCCAAGATAAAGGAGCACAAGAACATGACAAAGTCTACAGGTGCTACTATGATCAAGTATTTCCACAACCAGGTGCTTCTCAAGACGGAAAAATTACTTGTGAGCTACTTGGTGCGTCAGGCGCGACGGAACATGGCGGTGGACACGGGCTCAGTTAAGGAGTACGCACGTGAACTGTATGCTGCAGTGTCATGAAAGATGGGAATTATAGAGCCCAAACCCTTTAATGCTTCCTCTGGGTGGTTACAGAGGTTTAAGAAGAGGAACAAGATCACCAATATCAACATTGGTGATGAAGAAGCTAGTGCTGACCGTGTTGCGGCTAGGGAATTTCCTCCGTTTTTACGCGAGATTATGGAGGAAGGACAGTACACCGACGAGCAGGTCTTTAACATGAACGAATCTGGTCTTTTTTGGAAAAAGCTACCTTCCAAGACCTTCGTCGTGAAGAATGCCAGCAAGTGTCGGGGCCGGAAGTTGCAGAAGGAGCGCATCACCGTCCTGTTTACCACCAATGCCTCCGGTACCTGTAAGCTCAAGTTATCGGTGAGCCACACAGCACGCAAGCCGCACGCCTACAAGAGCATGGACATTAGGGGGCAGTGAAATTTTGCTCAAAGCTGCACTCTTCAGGCATTGTTCCTTATACATATCTAAGACTCCATGCCAAATTTGAAGCTGATATGTCGAGGTTTAGTCTGCCGCATTTTCTACTGAAATTTTTAAATTTACCTACAGTACTAGCCAAACAGCCGCTGTGGCGGTGCAATGTTCTGTTCAGTGTTTATCAACTTTTTTTTCATATCTCTTATTTCATTTAAGTTGTCTTGTTGCAGATGAGTATGGTGCGATGTCTATATTGATTATCAGCCTTTTCTCATTTCATTTCTCAATGTTGTGTTACTGTACTGTAATGTAGGGGAGACCTGGGTAAGTTGGCGCACTTAAAATTATTCAAATAGTTTCTGGTGGAGAAAAATATAACCCAGCAGCCCATTGTGTGTGTTGGTTGTGATGGAACCAATGTAAATGTAGGATCAGAAAATGGAGTCATTCATCATCTTGAAATGTTACTTGGTCACCCGCTCCATTATTTCATATGTCAGCTTCACGGAAATGAGCTGCATTTCCGCGCAGTTTTTTATCACTATGATGGTAAACCAAGTGGTCCTGAGCATTGGCGTGGTCCCATTGGAAAGCAGATCAAGGAGTCTTTGTCTGAGCTTCCAGTTGTCGCCTTCCAGCCAGTCAGTTTCCCTGATTTCCCTGTGTTTAATGATGAAGTGGAGAAAGATCTGTCCTGGGATCAGAAATACCTGTATAGGATTTGTAAAGGAGTTATCACAGGTGTTGTTGAAGATGACTTGGCTGCTATTGAGCCAGGTCCTCCCTGTGTGTCAAGGTGGAACACCTTATGGAGTAGAATCCTCAGGCTGTATGTAGCAACATCAAGACCCAGCCATGAGTTGAAAAGAATTGTCATTACAATAATAAAGTTCAGTGCTCCAATGTGGTTTTACATCAAGATACACCCTTACGTAACACACGGCTCAAGGAACGTATTCCAGTCCCTGCTATATATGAAACACCTGAATAGTGAGGAGGAGACGATAGTGAAGAAGGCTGTCCAGAGAAATGCATACTTCGCCCACACAGATCAACTTCTTCTTGGTATGTGTGCAGATGAGGACATGACTGTTAGAGAAAAAGTTGTCTCAATGATAAAAAAAATTAGAGAGGAGAATCAGCAAAAGGAAGAATGCACTGGCAGATCTGAAGAGGAGGAGGAAGATTCTGATGCTGCTGTTGACGAGAATTTGTTAAACTATACTGATGAGGAGGGTAAAGATGGAGATGGGAATGAGGATGTGCCTCCTGTAGTCAACATGAGAAAGGTGGTGACTCCGAAACTAAAGTGGCAAGCAAAAAACTATCATTCCATGATTAACTGGAGGAATGAACTCAAGACTGAGCCTCCTTACATTGCTTCTCTGTCAAATCTACAGGTTAATGACATTCTTGAGACACCATTAGTGGTGCCCAAGTGGCCAAACAGCACTCAGGCGGTCGAGAGAGGCATAAAAGTGATGACTGAAGCTTGCACTGAAGTGACGGGATACGAATCGAGAGATGGATATATTAGGCAAAGATTATTGTCTAGGAAAATGATGCCAAGGTTCCGCACAAAAAAGAATTTCAATATGAACTTGTAATGATTTTCTATACGGTGTACCTGTAAAATAACATGTGAATTAAATCGATGTCACCCATGTAAAATTTATCATTATCCTGGAAAACATTAAATGACACCTAATTTTTGGTATACACTAAAAGTTGACAAAAAGTCGTTCGCGATGCGGCAGGGTAAGTATGCATGAAATGGCATGAAATTTTGCACAGGTGTTTGTTACAGCCATACAAACGATGCCTGAAAAGTGCAGCCTGCAACTCAAATAAAAGTGTTTTTTCCCTGCCCCCTACTGTACTATAGAACCCCGAGAATCCAGAATACTGGTGAGTGGCCCCTTACCTGATTTCTGAATATAGAATTAAATGTTGCCTTCTCCTCTATGCTAACAAGTGTGTTATGAGGCAAACCTCTCATATACAAGCACATTATATATTTGTTCAGGGCTAAATCCTTCATTCTTCACTAACTTAGCATCCTCACTATGTACTGGCAGGTATAATGTTCATCACTAGCCCTTAACCCTTTGAGGACGATGATTTAACCCTTCAGGATTCAAAGGGTTAAAATGATGAATGACATATGAGTGGTGAGTCTGAGGATTTTGTGGACATCTGAAGCAGTAGGAATCTTGGGTAATTTTCCTGATACTGTAACTATAGGTTCTGGATTCTCAAGGTTATGCTGCAACTCACACAACAGAACTAAGAGGTCTGGTAACATGCAGTTCTCACTTACTGTCTGAAGGCTGATATTGTATTTTCATAATTTTCTCCGGCACCTGAAAACAAAGAATAGTGTCAAGATAAACAATTTTATATATTTTACAACAATATATAATAATAGTATAGTAATAAATAGGTAAAATATTACATACATCAACACTGCTAGTTATGTGATTCTCATAAAAGTAAATTTGTCTGTATCTATAGTACAGTACAGTTTAAGAGCCATCACACAGGATAAGAATCTGAAATAATTAGCTAGAAAAATTTACCCTAAACAATACTACGTATTTTGAATGTATGAAAAAAAAAGTATTGTACTGTACAGCATACAGTACAGTAATCTCGATTTACACAGTCAATTGAACCCGTGGAGGTCCGCGTAAACCAAGAAAAGCATAAACGAAATAACAGAACATATGGGATTAATTGAAATAGAGACTGAGCCAACCCCCAAACTACACTATACACTTTTTCCGACACAATACCTACGTTGTAGTAAAAATAACATCTTAATTTTATGATGGTACGCGCACACAATTAATATTTAAGAGAAATACAGTCACCGGTTAATGTCCATTCAAATAATGGACTCAACTCCCCTCTTCCCACTCTTGCTGGCTCTCCTCCCTCCCTGAGAAATGTTTGGGAGAAAAGACTAGGTTTTTAGGTTTAGTAATAAATAATACCTCAGACTATGGTTAGGATATTATAATTGACATTGCTGGATTCCTTGCAAGACTGCGAATAATTTGAATATAAACGTCATATATTTTGCACAAAAGATAAAATTTTTGCTCTCTCTAATAAAATTCTTAAATTAGATCTAAAATTTGCATGTCTAATGCAAATTTTAGCTTGTTTATAATCAAATTAATCACTATCTTATAAGAATTCCAGCAATGTAAATTATATTCTGGCCAGGTAATTTCTATGAATTTTATGAGCTAAAAACAAATATCTTCAGTAAATAAACAAATTATACTTCACCCAGACATAATACATTACATACGTTGTAGTAAAAATAACATCTTAATTTTATGATGGTATGCACACACAATTAATATTTAAGAGAAATATCAATAATATTAGGTTTTTTAACACTTACTTAGTAGAAGAGATGGCTGGGTACATGGGGATGGGGGGTTGGTTCCGAGGCAGATGGCAGATTATTGGCCCTCACCTGTATCACTTGTATCACCTATATCACTATCCACCAAAGAGGCTTGCAAGGCCTCTTTGTCAAACCCCTCAAAGTCCATATCCTCACTATCACTGACTTGGGCTGGCTGTGGTGGGTGAAGAACTTGGTAATGTTTTGTTGACTGGGCGACTTTGTGCGCACCCTGCCCGCGCCACTTCCCGTGTAAATGATGGAATGAACCGCGTAAATAAAAGTTGTCGGTCTGGCAAGGTGACGCGTATATGACCAAACGCATAAAGCAAATCCTAGAATAAACAAAACATTGTTTTTTGTAGTATTATGCTAAAACAAACACCCATAAATCAACACAGTTAAAATTAAGGGATGCGAAATGGTCTGTATACTAGAGATCAGCTGATGTGAGAGGGTGGTTGTGCTAGCGACGCGCTACATCCGCCTCTCGCCTGACTCGCCAAGCACTTTCAGTTTCATCTCAACTCAGTTTTTCATTACTTTATGCTGGCCCTCCCCTTGCCCCAACTGAGATTGTACCCAGATGTACCTCAGCCCATCTCCTAGAATAAACAAACACTCATAAGTCAACACAGCTAAAATTACGGGATGTGAAATGGTCTGTTTACTAGAGATCAGTTGATGTGAGAGGGTGGTCACGCTGGCGCCACACACCACCCACCTCTCGTCCTACTCACCAAGCACTTTCACTTTCCTCTCAACTTATTTTTTAATTACTTTATGCTATCTAAAATAGATTTTCACGCAACTTTAGTTAGACAATTCATCCTCTGAAGATGCAGAGCCCAACTCAACCAGCTTATTATCCACATCACTGTCCAAATTGGCACCCCACACTTGAAGCACCATTTCCTCGCTGCAGTACTTCCAGCACCTTGATTTTCTGCTCCAGTGTAATTGCTTGCCTTGATTTCATGGTCTTTGGGGTAGTTAATGATGTAGTAGATGGCCTCTTGGACATAGTGTCGATGGTTGATGCACGTGGTATGAGATAGTGTCACACAATATGTCCATTCACTAGAGCGTCAGTGCGAGAACTGAGGATGCGTGAGGGTGTAGGAGGGTGGCGGGCAGCCGTGTAGTGTGCCCAGAGATGCATCTGGCGGTAAACATTAGGCGCAAAATTTAAAATACTGTAGTGTGTATTTCCATATGATGCGCCAAAATGACTCGCTTAAAATAGGAAAGATTCGCTTTAAATTAATACACTGTCCTTAATCGTGGGTGTCGCTTTAAATAAATAACTTTACATTGAAAATCGATGTTCTACTGTATCAAAATAAAAAAAACGTATTTGACCCTAGCGTCTGAGAGAAACCGGTCTAGGAATAGGGATATTAAATGGGAATAACACTTTAGACTATGTTCCTGCAGGATAGGAAACCAATACTCATAAGGTCAAAACTAAGTTCTAGGCTAATATTTTATTTATTTATTTATTAATTTTTCATAATTTTCACCACATCAGCCATTTGGGCAGTTCTGTCCAGTGTTATTACAGGAGGAAACCACTTCGGGAAACCCGAGCTGTGTGGTAGGGTCACACTGGATAATACCCTTCTCATGTGTGTCAGGGCCAAGCAGGATTCAAACCCTTGACATACAGTATACTGGAAATACAGTACTGTATGGGATGATTTCAACGAGTCTTCTTTCAATGTTTACTATGGTCATTACTCCACTCGGAAAGTTGTCGCATGCCTTGATTCTAAAAAATTTTATTTTGAGTTTCACAAAGCTTCAGTTTTATAAGGAGACTGCATTGATGGGACATACTAGTACATAATGAAAAGCAGCCCCACAGTTAAAAACCTGAGACGACTGTTGGCACTGTAGATCTGCCAGTACAGTATAGGAAATACCAATAAACTAACCCACCACACAATATTTGGAGACTATACAGGGGTGCACTACATATATGATTTTAATAGGTATGATCCAATGAGAACTATTAATTATCAATTTTTTTTTTACGACTGTTCCCTGCATTTGTTCCTGCTGAAATGAGGATACCATATTGTACATGTAGTTCAGTAATGGTTTGCTCTTATTCACTGGCGTCAAAGAATAGCTCCAGCAACATGGTGTCCCTACTGCTGTGACTCAGATTAAGAATTTTAGAGAGAACCTTCACTTTTGTCTGACCTTATTATTAATAGACTAGTGAATTATTTTGACTCTTGAAAAAGTCCTTTTGTTGGAAGATTGTTGTCAATTCATTAAGATGCTGGTGGAGCTCTTCTGGAATTGCCTCCCAGCTTAACCCACCTGAAGTTCAACCACCCTAATGCTACCTGTAGGGGCAGGGGGCAAATCTTCAGGTGATAGTGGATCTCATTACTCACCTGAAGATCAGCCCCTCTAAGCTTAACCTATCTGAAGCTTAACCACCCCAACAGAAAATAAAGTAATGCATAATACGGTTATTAAAGTAGAATAAAGTAGTCCTGTAGTTACAAAAATACAAAATATGCATTACAAGTTTATTAAATTTTATTATATTGGATAAAGTAAAATAATATGCACAAGATTATCACAGTCCATAATATGGTTACAAAAGTACAATATAATGTACAATAAGTTAATTAATCACTAGTACATGTAAACTGATTATTGTACTACTGTACTGTATGCATAAAAAAATTAAAAAGCATTCAGAGAATAATGATTGGTACATATAGGTTCATAAAGTGTGGCAGCTGTGCATTGTCTTGTTCTGACCTTTATGCTTGTTCTGTCATGACATCACAAACCAGATCCACAACATTTATTGAAAGGTTAACAGTCCTGTGCATGTAACCCAGACTTTGGAGATTATAGTATCCCCTCCACTCATTAGTACAGTACTGTACTGTGAATGATGGATCCTGATCAAACCACTGCTTTTACACTATACCTGTACTCTATTGCTTGGACTATTTCCATACAGCCAGTTGCTGGTTTGGCATTAAATCAACAATGCTGAAGATCCAAACAGGTGTGTGTGTGTGTGTGTGTGGTGTTTGTCCCCAGAGATGTTTCAGGTAATGAGAAAAGCAAGATTCTTCTATTTCCACAGTAACCCAAGGACTGCTAAGTTGGATTGGATTTGCTTGATAATGCCTCATACACACTTTCAGGGAGAGAGAGAAAAAAAAGACCCAAACAAAGATTAATTTCTCAGAACATTTACTTGATGGCTTGCAGTTATTTTGCCAATACATTCATTCCACCCATCCTTGGCGTGACACAGGATTATAGTTGTACAATAATGTATTGCTGCCAGAAAGTTCCATTTCTCTAGTCAAAATGTAGTGTTTCCATTGCAAGAATGTTCTGTACTACTGTACAATAGTGTATTTATTTACTGTTAAATTTATTAAATAAATAAAAGAAAACAAATATTAAGGTGATGGTTTAATTGATCACCTACCACCACCACCAGATGTGATACCCAGACTCAGCTACACCACTTAAGACATTAGGAATTTAAACAACACTAGGTGAGAAACAAGGGCTCCCAACTCCAGGTGATTAATGAGAATTCCCAACAACATCAAATGAGAAACAAGAACCCTCTTAAACACCATGTGAGCTGAGGGACCAAGGCATCAGTGTAAACTTGTGCAAACCGGAGACCAGGATTACACCTTCTGTACCAGACAGTTTACAAGACCGATTGTGATGCGACCTACAAGATTACAGGGTACTTCTATATCTGTAGTTAATTTGTATGTTCACTCCATGTTTCTTCTTTTTTTGTACTGAAAGCCTTTGTCAGTCAAGTGACCCACTCCTCATTTTCACTAAATGTAACCTTTATCATCTGTTTATTGTATATTTTTGCCATTTGGTTGTCATGTTTTCAATAAACTGTTAATTATTATTATTATCACATTC